AGAAATTTCACCTGTCCTAGCAGATGACAAGATCATTTCTCAGTTTCCTCAGACGTTGCTGGTGAGCTGTGAGAATGACATCCTCCGGGATGATGCCTTGCTCTATAAGAAGCGCTTGGAAGACCAGGGGGTCCTCGTGAACTGGTACCATGTGGAAGATGGCTTTCACGGATGCACGATTTTATTTGATAAGAAGTGTCTTTCTTTCCCTTGCTCTAAGAAAGTTGTAAATGCCGTTATTGTTTACATAAAGGGTATCTGATATTAAAATTGAGCTTTCTGTGAAGTGGAGCCAGGAAAACCTATGCTTCAGCTGGGGCCTTTACTTAGTTCCATGTTTTTGGGGAAAGGAGACGCTGAAACAATCATGATCCAGGAAGAAATGAGGATGTGGGAACAAAGAACTCTTGGCTTCTTGCTCAGCCAATTCTAATTTGTGCTCTCTTCCTACATGACCAATATCATGTGTTGGATCCAGCCACAGTCTCTACTCTTTCAATAGGTACATATTGTAGTCATAAGAAATGGTCTTTGAAAGTTTTGAAAGCTTACTCAGGTCTTTGTAGAAGAAATGCCACACAGGCCCACTGTCACTGGTGAATCCTTATTAATTCTGAGAAAAGATTTTTTGGATACTGAAACTGTCTTGCTGTCACTCCTGAGGGCAAGGTCACTGCTCACCCACTTTGCTGCTACCTGTCCTGAGAAATGATTTTCAAAGAACTCCCCTAAAGAAGCGACCCTTAGCCTGAGTTCTGTCTCTCATTGTCCCTACCTGGGCATGCTCTCCGGCAGTGCCTGGTGAGCCTACTCAACACAGCCTGAGGCAAGGAATGGGATCACTCCTCTCACTGTCAGTTCCGTGGGTGTGACTCACTCACACTCACACCACCAAGGACTGATCCATTCTTGCCCAGGCAAGGAGCAGGATCTTCTGTCTAGATTGCTGTAAGGGGCATAAAAATGGGGGTTTGCGAGCTCTCCTGTACTCCTGCCCTCAGGGCTGGCTCACCTGCTTTCCTGACAACAGGGTTGGCTCTCGTTTTCTGCCGCAGAGGGGAACAGTGTCTGCCCTCCTGTTTGCTACTGCTGATGAGGGACAGGGCTAGTTCTCCCACTGTTGTGACCCCGTGCCTACTCTCCTCATCTGCCAGAGGTAGGAGGGTGGTTGGGAGGAGGAGGGTATCTTTCCCTCACCCATGCCACCACATGGCAGACAAGCAGGGGGTGGGCATGGTTAGCCCTGCTGTTCTCACCTCCTCGGGGCAGCTCACCTGCATCCCTGACAACAGGGTCAGATCTAGTGTGCTGCCTAGGTGGGGTAATGCCTGTGTGAGAGGTGAGGCCACATTTCCTGATTCCATGGGCCATTTCTCCTGCTGCGGTATCTACTGAGGGGCAGGATCACCTATCCCAGGGCCATTTCAGGGTGGGGACATCTTAGCCCAGGTTCTCTGATTTCAACAAGATTGTTTCCTAAGTCGCCATGATAACACAGGCCATTAACATGAACACTGACCCCAGCTCTAGAAATACTCTAGACCTTGACAGGGCCCTGGGCAACAGCCTGGGCCCGGGTGTCACCCTGACTCTGGTGGCATCACAGGCTACCCAGATCAGTATCCCACTGTGGTAGCATGGCTCTTGGACACAAACATGGTCTCAGGTGGTTGAGCAGATCCTGGGCATCTGGACGGGCCCTTGGCAGTAACAGGGACCATGAACATCAGTTCAGACACTGGCTGCTGTAAAGCCATGAACCTAGACATGGGCAGGGTAGCAACACTGACCTGGATGATACCATGGCCCTGAATGACAGGGCAGGCCATTTAGATCAGCACGGCCCTGGTGGTAGCATGGATCCTGGACACTCTCATGACCACAGGTTGCAACCAAGACCCCGGGTAACAGTGTGGCCTTTGGTGGCAACATGGCTCACACACATCAATATTGATACCCTGGCTGTGGTAGGACCACAGACCCAGACATGGTCCTCAGCAGCAGCCTGGGCCTTGATGTCACCATAGCCCTAGGAGGCGGTGCAGGCCACCTAGATCAGCATGACCCCCAGAGGAGCATGGCCTTCAGATACCAACCTGGCCCTAAGTGGCTGCCTAGACTGCAGACCTCTGCACAGCCCTCAGTGAGGATAGGAGTCATAGATCTCAACTCATGCCCTCTCAGCTGCTTCAGGGCCTCCGACCAAGTGTGGTCCTTGACAGTAGCCCAGACCCTGAAATGGTCTTGGATTCAGGTGGCCAGCAGGCCATCCACTGCAGCCTCAATGTGAGCATCCTCACCTCTTCATATCACAGTCTAGGCAGACTCAGCTCCTAGGCCGCTGAGGGTAGGAATGATGTCCATGGAACTGGTGCACCAAGACTTTTCTATCTGCGGGGCTTGGGGAAAGAAAGACACGAATACACTTTTCTGACGCATTCCTTCTTTATCTCACATGTCCTTCTCATAAAGTTCCATCTTCCTTTGTCCTCCATAGCTTAAAGAACCCACAAAATCTTTCAGGCATTACATTTGAAGGTCCCATTCCATTTCTGAAATAAATAACAAAAACAGAGGCACGCGGCAACTCACATGCAATATATTTAAATAACATGTCGCAGAGCAAGGAAGGAACATTTTTTTTCCTTTGTCAACTCCCTGATTGGTGGGCTGTAACTTGTAGCTGCAAAGAAAGAATCAGTCATTTTGTTATCTATCTAGAGAGGTAGTCTTAAAGTCTTAAAAAGGATTTTGAAGGAGTTATACAACAAAACTATTAAGGAGTCTAAGAAAAATAAGGAAATTGTGTACTATATCCTATACTTCGGAGTGTATAAACATTTTAAGCTATTGTTTTGTGATTTGGAGTGCTAGAAGCCAGGTTTACTTGTACTCAGAGATTACCCTGTTTGGTGTGTAGTAAATTCTTTAGTTTGAACTCAGAATTACTGTAAATCCTTTTAATATTAGTTCAATTGGCACTCTCCAAGACACAGTGACACTAGAAGCATTTTAAATCTTTTTTTTAAAAAAATATTTATTTATTTATTATGTATACAATATTCTGTCTGTGTGTATGTCTGCAGGCCAGAAGAGGGCACCAGACCTCATTACAGATGGTTGTGAGCCACCATGTGGTTGCTGGGAATTGAACTCAGGACCTTTGGAAGAGCAGGCAATGCTCTTAACCACTGAGCCATCTCTCCAGCCCGCATTTTAAATCTTAAAATGTATTTTCTGCTCTGTGTGTAGCTTTAGGTCATTAAAAAGGAAACTTGTAACTCTTTCTCGGGGTTATGGAGTCAGATTATTTTTTGTAGTCCTGGCTAGTAAGAAAATCTTTACTGATGGTATATCTGAAAAAAGTCATTTTTGTTTCTGGACCTCAGCTACTTGGCAAATTCCTTTGTGGAAGGTTCAAGGCCCTCCTTACTATATCTAGGCTGAGCAAGATATATCAGGGTTATTGTAGCCTCATAGAAAGAGTTTGGCAATGTTCCTTCTGTTTCTATTGTGTGGAACAAATTGAGGAGTATTGGTATTAGTTTTTTTTTTTTTTTTTTTTTTTTTTTGAAAATCTTGTAGAATTCTGAGCTGATACCATCTGGTCCTGGGCTTTTTTGTAGTTTGGAGACTTTTGATGACTGTTTCTATTTCTTCAGCAGTTATAGGTCTGTTTAATTTGCTTATCTGGTCTTGATTTAATTTTGGTAAGTGATATTTACCCAGAAAGTTGTCCATTTCCTTTAAGTTTTCCAATTTTTTTAGAGTACAGGTTTTTGAAATATGACCTGATGATTCTCTGTATTTCCTTCATGTCTATTGTTATGTCCCCCTTTTCATTTCTCATTTTGTTAATTTGGATATTTCCTGTCTGCCTTTTAGTTAGTTTGGATAAAGGTTTGTCTGTTTTGTTGATTTTCTCGAAGAACCAACACTTTGTCTCATTGGTTCTTTGTTTTGTTTTCTTTGTTTCTATTTTGTTGATTTCAGCTCTCAATTTGATTATTTCCTGATGTCTAGTTCTCTTGGGTGGGTTTGCTTCTTTTCGTTCTAAAGTTTTCAAATGTTCTATTAATTCACTAGTGTGGGATTTTTCTCAACTTGTGCTAATTTTTTAGGAGAGATTAACAGCAATTAAGCTTATGAAGAGAACTACTTAGATCGTTCCCCACATTGTAAGCGGCACACCAATAACTAGAGCTCATACATTTCTTTACTGATGTGAGCAAATCAAGAAAGGGTGGTTACAAATCAGAAGATTTAAATAAGGTGGAACAAAGCCCTTATAATTCTGTCCAAAAGGCAGAATTATATGCTTATTCTCATGGCACTGAGGGATTGTAAAGAACCTCTCAATATAGTTATTGATTCAAAAATATACAGAAAGAGTTGTCTTGCATATTGAAAGTGCTGAATTTATATCAGATGATACACAATTGACTTCATTATCCATATAGGTTCAACTGTCTGAGAAATAAAACTCTCTGTCTTAAATATTAGATAAAATATGATTATATCATTTTTTTTCTCTTACCCTTTCCCTATTCTCCCCATTTTGATCCTCCTATGCCACCTCCTTACACCTAAATTTTGGCCTCTTTTTGTATAACTATGGTTGTTATATTTATATATTAATACATGCTGAGTCATTCAGTGTTAGTTGTATGTACTGAATTTTAGGGCTGTTGTTTGCAGGGTAATCCTGGACAAGGAAAGACATTTTGTAGTTAATATATACTCTGAGGAGCTATTGCTTTAAGGACTAGCCTTGCTATTCCCCATCACGTATCTATTTTATCTAGCCTGTGTGTCTGTGGCCCTCTTGTTCTGTGGAGAAGGTTGCCCTCTTGTGGTTTGTGACTCCTGTACTGACAGAGATACCCTGAAAGGTTATGTTTGTAAGTTGTTAGCTTTTCTGAAGTGAGCAGTTGAGTTTGTGTAGGATCCTGTTTGATTTCTCTGGCTGCTGAAACATGTTATCAAAAACATACTGGCTTAAACTTCCATATTAGGTGAGACATCACGACCATGGATGAAGGAACTTTTTCCTGGGTGAGGCTCACCCATTGCACTCTGTGTATGTGGAGCCCTGGCATCTCCCCCAATGTGGGAAACTAATTTGTGGCAATGGAGAAAGGCATTCCTGCTTCCCTTTAATAAAACTAAAACAAATGTCCTGGCTTAAAACAACACATGATTTCCTTTGCAAATCGTAAGTCCAGGATTCCTCCTGGAGGTCACTGGGGAGAAGGCGTTCTCTTGTGAGTTAATTCTTTTGCACAGATAAAACCAACAGAGGAAAGGCCTCACAGCCGCCGTCCAATTCCAGTTACACCTGGTGGTCTTTAGTAGTCTTTTGTCTTGCAGGAGACAGGTGCAGTGAGGGCAGTCTCTGCAGAGTTTGTATGCTCAGGGATGAGTGAGGAAGTGCTGCCTTGGGGAAGAATCTGTAGGCTAGGAAGGTGGTCATCCAATTGATTTGTAAACATAGGATGTCTTTCCTGCTTCTAGTGCCCCCTTTAACTGCCCCTGTCTCTTTTCCTTGTCCTAGCACATTGAGGGCCAGTCAGCCATCTGGGAGGATCTTACCAGGAGTGGAAATTACCTATATTGTTCCACAGGCCTTAGGGCTGCACCCGGATGAACAGCTTGCAGACAGGCGGTACATCCGAGCACTGCTGTCTTCAAGTCGCCTGGGAACAGCAGTGTTCTTTCATGCAGCTTTCCTCATTCAAACTCGTTTTTTTTTTTTAATGATAAAATAATTTGCCAGGCAAATTTGGGAGCTTGGGGGTGGGGGTAGGGTGAGGGTAAGGGGAAATGGGGAAAGAGAAGGGAGAAGGGGAGGATGGGGAGAGCTTGGGGGAATGGGATGGTTGGGATGGAGGAAGGGTGGATATGGGAGCAGGGAAGTATATATCTTAATTAAGGGAGCCATTATAGGGTTGCAAGAGACTTGACTCTAGAGGGGTTCCCAGGTGTCCAAGGAGGTGTCCTCAGCTTGTTCCTTGGGCAGCTGAGGAGAGGGCGCCTGAACTGGCCCTATCCTATTTCAAGGATGTATACTGTTTGATAAGAAGGTCCTTTCTTTTCCCAGATTCCTGAAAAGCATAAATGTAGTCAGTTTCATCAAAGGTCACTCACCCTAGAGTCTGAGCGTTATAAAGTAGGGAAGGGCTGTGTTAGGGCCTCTGGTTACTTTTGTTGGGGAAGGAGCCATTTGTGATCTAAGAGCTGAATGCAAGGTGAAAGCAAAGAATTTTGGCTTTACGTTGAAGAAGATCCAGAGAGTGTAGTAATAAGGGCGGCAGGGCTGCGTCCCCAGCACCCTGGCTGCCTGCTCGGCTAGCTTATGCCCCGAAATAACAACATACAAACTGTATTCATTTAAACACTGCTTGGCCCATTCTCTTCTAGGCTAATTCTCACATATTAATTTAGCCCATTTCTAATCATCTGTGTGTAGCACCCCAAGGTGCGCTTACCGGGAAGATTCTAGCCTATGTCCATCCTGGGTCGGAGCTTCATCCCGGGAGCGGGGCATGGCGTCTCTCTCAGGCATCTGCTCCCGAGAGGAGAGCTGTCGAGACTGACCTCACTTCCTCTTCCTCCCAGCGTTCTGTTCTGTTTACACCTCCCACCTATCCTCTAACCAATAAAATGGGCCAGGGCAGTTCCTTTATTAGCCAATGACCTTCCTCCATCATTTCCCCTTTTTCGGTTTAAACAAAAAAAAAAAAAAAAGGCTTTAACTTTAACATAGCAAAATTGCATATAACAAAACAGTTATCAAGTAAAAGTTACAATAATCTTTATCATAACTAAGGAAAACTATAACTATAACTAACTATTCTTAACTCCATCAAAGACTCCAGAAAGATACAATACTACCTAAGCAAACAAGAAAAAAGCAACTTTTAAAACTCTAGAAATGACAGAGACATCTCGCTGCCTGGACAGTCACCCAAAGTTCCTCTGTATCGTTGGGGCATCCATCTTCAGCCTTCAGGCCCATGGTATCCAGCAGACATTTCCATAAGGCAGGAAAATTCAAAGGCAGTTCAGTCACTATCTACTGTGTCCTGCAGAATGTCTCGCAGACTCTTTCATGAATCAGGAGCCCCGAAAGATCATCTCACCTTAGGCAAGTTCAGTAGTCCTCTCTCTGCGGGTTCTCTGTGTCCAGTTTATGCAATAGTCCAGGCAAGAGCAGTTTCTTGCCCAAATGGCTATCAAACTCCATAAGGTGCCTCTTCGATGCCCATCTTCCTCTTGAAGTACATTGGTGCTGCCAGGAGCAGAGTGTCTCATTGTCATGAAAAGTCCTCAGTTATTAAAACATTAAATGTCCTATTCTGTAATCTTTGAAAGACATGAAGAATGTCTATCTAAAATATATCTCTATATATCTAGAAAATCTAACTAACATGACTACAAGCTTTACTATTATCGATGATTATCCATTAACAACCTATATTTCTTAATTATACAGTACATATTTAAATGAACTACACAATCACAATACCTTAATCAAAATCAGAAACACTTATACATATAACAAAATTGACCTTAAATCTCTATCAATAAAGCAAAATCTATACTAATGCAAATTATTCATACCTATATCATATCCCCCTTTAAATGTAAAAGGACGTTTATAAACCATATTTGGGAACATGGGCGCAGTTTTTTTCTCTCCAAAGTGCTTCCTGCTGTATGGGGGCGTCGTTAATTAGGTCTTTCATGGTATAACCTGTGTGCTAGTTTCATCTCAGTTGGCAGTTGAGCAAAGCAATTTTTTGAAGGCGTGCACAGGAACCATTCAGGAGGACGTGGTCCATCATACCAAATCGGAATAGAAGAAATGAACAGCGTCTCATCCTCTGTGAAAACAAAATAAGAAACTCCTTTCCAAAGCATCATGTCCTTAGATCCAAATTTCAAAGTCAAGGCATTTTCAAAATATCTATGTTGGATTAGTTCAGCAGCATTTATAAATAAATATCTTTTAGCATCTGTTGCTCCTTCCTCAGCGTTTAAATAATTTAAAGAGAGCATAATAGCATACAGTATCAAGATTCTCTGTGTATTTTCCATCTTTGTACAGCTTTGTTTTAACCTCTATTTCGTTTATTTTTACTTTTAACTCTTTGCTTTTTGAGATAGGTTCTCTGTATCTTTGACCTGAAGTAACTCTGTAGACCAGGCTGTCTTTGAACTCTCAGAGATCCGCCTGTCTCTGCCTCCCAGGCATTCGGGATTAAAGGTGTACACTGCTACACCTTGAACTCACAGAGATCTGTTTGTCTCTGCCTTCTAGGCACTGGGATTAAAGGCGTGTGCTACCACACACAACTCTCTTCCTTTTTTTTGTTTTTTTTTTTTTTTTACTTTAAGAATTTCAACTTTTAGTCTGCATATATTTTTAACACACTTTAAACCATTCAGAAATTTTCTCTGTCTTTGAATCTCTCTTTACTGTATATCTCTCTTTTTCTGACCACACGAGTCTTTAATTTACCAAGCAATATCAGTAGGATTAAAGGCGTGGCTTTGCCGGCTGGATCCAGCCCATTCCTTAGCTTTCCAGCCTCATGGCTGAGGTACTGGCTGTAGCCAGCAAGCGAGCTTCAGCAGCCTGTGCTTGCAAACCGCACAAACCGCCTGCGTAAGAGTCAGAGTTTGTCCTGGCAGGACAGCCCAGAAAGCCGGCATTTTTAAAGGGCGCAGCTTTCTTCCTGCTACGACTGAAAACCGAAAAGCATGCGTTCAGCTTTTCGTCAACACCGTTTAAGTGTTTCGTGGCAGGACCTCTTAATGAGCTGCAGGCTTTGCAGCTAAAGCTGAGTCAGGAGCTTCTCTTAGAAGAAAGCACATGCTTGCCTCTAACAAGCAGAGCAGACCCGAGAACACAGCGAGTCTAGTTGCCATCAAACAAATCGTAGCACTTTACTCCAAATGCTCTATTCAAAAGCTCTGTCTCCCGCAGGAGCCAGACAGAGATCGTAATGGTGGCACAGCCCCAGGAAGTCGCGCTTTAAAATGACACAGCGTTTTTTTCGGCTACTGTTGCCGAATCAGGGAATCTCTCTACAGCACGCCACCAACAAAGAGCAAAAATCTGTGTTAAACTCTCTCTCCCTTATTTTTAAGCCTTCTCAGGTTTTTTAAGTGGGTTTAGTCCATCACGTGGGGCGCCATTCTGTAGTAATAAGGGTGGCAGGGCTGCGTCCCCAGCACCCTGGCTGCCTGCTCGGCTAGCTTATGCCCCGAAATAACAACATACAAACTGTATTCATTTAAACACTGCTTGGCCCATTCTCTTCTAGGCTAATTCTCACATATTAATTTAGCCCATTTCTAATCATCTGTGTGTAGCACCCCAAGGTGCGCTTACCGGGAAGATTCTAGCCTATGTCCATCCTGGGTCGGAGCTTCATCCCGGGAGCGGGGCATGGCGTCTCTCTCAGGCATCTGCTCCCGAGAGGAGAGCTGTCGAGACTGACCTCACTTCCTCTTCCTCCCAGCGTTCTGTTCTGTTTACACCTCCCACCTATCTTCTAACCAATAAAATGGGCCAGGGCAGTTCCTTTATTAGCCAATGACCTTCCTCCATCAAGAGAGTGTATTTCCCTCCGACATTAGTTGTCAGTGCCACATCTAACAATATCATCTACAACTGTTACTTAAGTGAAATAAATATCAAAGTGGGTAAATCGTGTAGGCTTTAAAAATGAGAAGATTAAAAATTCGCATAATAAGAGCTAATTAAAGATAAAAGGCACTAGCTGGGTTGTGGTGACACACTCCTTTAATCCCAGCACTCAAGAGGCAGAGACAGGCCTGTGAGTTTGAGGCCTGGTCTACAGAGTGAGTTCCAAGATTGGCTCCAAAGATACAGAGAAACCCTGTCTCAAAAAACCACCCCCACCCCCAAAAAACCAAAAAAGGCACAAATATCAAATTAAAATTAAATTAAAAAGAAATAACTAACTGCATAGAGTTATGCAGAAAGAGAATATTATAAAATGTTTAATAAAATAAAGTAACCATATTTAGATATAAACTTAAACAAGAATTATGATGCCAGGTGGTGATGCACGCCTTTAATCCCAGCACTCAGGATGCAGAGGTAGGTGGATCTTTCTGAGTTTGA